TGCACATGAGCAGGAAACATTCCCTTAAAATTAAAGCCTTCAGCTTTTCCCGTTCCTGAGTTAGCATTTTTCCCATCAAAATTTTCACGTGTCCGTACATGAGTACTGAATGGTTTTAAGGAGCTGAATTTAAAATCTTTTGGTCATACATGAGTAGGGAACATTACCCTAAAGTTTCAACTTTCTAGCTTTTTCTGTTCCCGGATTAGTAATTTTCATGCCAAGATTTTCACGTGCTTGTATGTGGGCACGGGCGCTTCTAAACCCTGGTCTTGGTCGTACATGAGTAGGAAACATTCCCCGAAACTTTCAGCTTTCTGGCTTTTCCCGTTCCTGGGTTAGTAACTTTCGCGCCAAAATTTCCACACGCTCGTACGTGGGCTCGGGCGCTTCTAAACACCTGATTTGGCTCGTACATGAGTAGGGAACATTCCCTTAAAGTTTCAACTTTCTAGCTTTTCCCGTTCTCGGGTTAGTGATTTTCGCGCCAATATTTTCACGTGCCCGTACGTGAGCCCCTGACGGTCCTAAGGAGCTGAATTTGAAAACTTTTGGTCGTGCATGAGCATGGAACATTCCCCAAAGTTTCAACTTTCTAGCTCTTCTCATTCTCGAGTTATGAATTTTCCCGCCAAAATTTTCATACGCCCGTAAGTCCCGGGCACTCCTGGGCAGCTGAATTTGATATCTTTTTGTCACACATAGGTAGGGAACATTCTCCCAAGGTTTCAGCTTCCTAGCTTTTCTCGTTTCCGAGTTAGAGACTTTCGCGCCAAAACTTTCACTTGCTCGTACGCGGGGCTCAGACGTGCGTGAGGGTTGAAATCGCGGTCCTGGGGTGGTACCTGGCTGGGGAACACACTGGCAAAATTTCAGCGTCAAAGCTTGCGTGGTTAGCGAGTTGAAATACCCGAACATACACACACACACACACAAACATACGCACACACAGACTGCCAGGGTCGTTGCAATATGCGTTTTCGCTGCCTGTTGCAGCGCTCTAGCGCTGCACGGCAAAAACGCATAAAAATTGCCAAAAAAGTCCACCATGAAAAATGGGGTCCCCGGGTACCGCGTATGGCCGCGTGAAAGTTCAGGCAGGAAAATCGTGAAGTGCAAATCTAGGAAGCTGAAACTTCAGGTATCCCTTGTCGACGCGCAACTCCGCAAACTTTCAACGTTTCCATGGAAGTCTGGCAAGAAAAATCATTATCATGGGAGCCAGAAGAGTTAGGATGCTGAAAATTTGTTTCCTGCCTAAGCAGGAGCTTCACAGACCCGAATTCAGTTCCTAAGTATGCCGAGGTCTCACGTACGACCACGTGGAAGTTTTGTCTTAAAGATCAATCGAAAGCCAGAAAATTAGGAGACCGGAATTTTGGAAGGATATTCACCCTTCGAGGTTTCAAATTCAGCTTTCATGTGCCGATACGTAAAATTTTTAACTAATTTTCAACGTTTCGACTACTTTTGCACAGAATAAAGCAAAAAGCAGTGAAAATCATTAACCCCGCAATCGTTCGGAGGACCGAATTGCACAAAACGCATAATCGTACCGGCTATTCTGGTACGCGCTGCTATTAATTCTTATTTTCTGCGTCAATAATTAACATTTTAAGTTCGTTTGATAGTATTGGCAAAAGTTATGCTTTGCGAAACTGTACAAGTATTCGTTCAATCTGAACCAACCTGATCCTGGGTTCTGCGCAATTGCTTCTCTCGCTCGTACTGTGTCATCAACTGCTCGTTATCCTCCTTCAGCATCTCCAAATCAACAGAGAACTCCTCCTTTTCCAAGTATGCTAGATCCAGGCTTTCCAATACGTTCACAACCAGTGGCATTAAATTCTGCAACAACAGAACAGGATAGGCGCACTGCAGCTCAAACGGCTAAGCTAACAAAGGCATAGTCATCTGTTCAGCACAGGCACCAGCACTATTTGGAGCAATATCACCTGTGGGATAATGATACCTTGACACTGTCCTCGCCGCTCCGCTCGATCATCGCTTCGAATTCTTTATAAATTGATGACGCAAGCATCTGCACTTTTTCCGACATAACGCGAGAGTCATCACCAGCTGCCGAGCCGATCGATCCGGACGCACCACCGTAGACAATCTGCAAGAACAGAGCCAATAATTCTGGAAGAGGCACAACACCCATTCAAAACGTCATGCATGCATATGTCCGGAGACAACGGAGAGTGAGGGAGGGAGGTTTGAGGACAATTATCTGGAAACGAGGAAAATGCTCTCAAATGGGTCAATGGGTGAGTTAATGCAAATGCGATGAAATATGCATGTAAAAGCAATGCGTACCTGAACTACCGGTACAATGCAAAAACACAGTTAGTTCAGTGTTTGATTCGAAAGTTAAGATAACTTTTGAAGACACATAAAACATCGTAAAAATTACGAACTAATCCATTAATATAACATTAAAGCAATAGAACAGTTCAGCTTATTAACGGTAAATAAGTTTGTGGAGACTATTAACTACTCGAATGGGTTTTTTTTTTTTACGCGGATCACCTGGTTATCTTCATGAATTTATATCCAGCTGTAACCGCCGTGGTGACGATTTCGAGTTGTGGCACTGGTAAGAAATGTATACAGTCTCATGGACCGGGACATTTCTTTCCAGTTTTTTAAAAAATTTTTCTGATTTCATAATTCTTATTCTTTTCTTACCTACACCATAACAATTCCTTCTTGCTTTTTCAGACTTAATTTCAAATCTAATTACCTGGAGAAGTTCCGAAACGTCAAATGCTACGTCTTAACCTCAGCTAAAACTACTAATAATCCATATATGTTAAAGTCTAAAGAGCTTTACAACTATCTACTAATTATTATTTGAAAACAGGAGGTGTAAACCATGGGAAAAATATTTATTGGCCATTTTTAATTTTCTACTAAATTAAATACAAGTGGATTTCCTTGCAACGCTTTGTCCTGAAATAACAATCTTCCCCAGTCTCCTCCCTGCTCTCCCCCTCCTCCCCTTTACACAGATGACGGAGTAGTTGCAAAATCCAAACTAGTCCCGCGCCTCGCTGCTTTTGCAGGTTGCCAGACACCACCGCCCTGATGGTGCATACTCCCCGGGACGCCAGCAATCTGGCAACAACAGCTGGAAAAACAAGAAGCGAGCAGGAACCAGTACGGAGCGACGACGAAGGGGGGCAGAGGGTGCTGCGTGATAGATGAGTAGTCCCGTGCTGGCTGTTTTCGATCGCTGCACTGTGCTGTTATCAGCAGAAAAACGAGCGAACTGAGTTCAGATCAGCGACAATATCGATCGATCGGGTGAGCTAACGATCCAAGCGATTGGCGATCGAGCGAGCGCTAAGCACAAAAGCTAACAGCATAGCGAGTGTACTAGGGGCTGGTGCTGTAGCATTCCAGAATAAAAACCAATCGAAAGCGATGCGAGGCAGGGGGCTTGGAAGGTCGTCAGCGATGATTTCGCTATAAAACTGTTAATATCGAAAAGTTTCACACCGACAATTTCACAGTTTTGAAATTTTCCTCTTTGCAGCAATGCGATTACATTTAACCGCAATCCTTAGCGTTTTCCATCAATCGTTCGACAAAAAGAGCCTCGCCACACAAGATTTCCTGGGATAACACAAACGAAGTTCAATCCCCTCTCCTCCAATCTTGTCTTTACCGAAACAGACAGTGAACGGAGCCTCGAACTCCTCGCCAAGAAGGTGTATGCGCCCCAGCCCCTCCCCTCTTTCGTCAAAAGTGCATACCTCACTGCTACTGCTGTTGCTGGATGAATGCATTCCACTGTTGTTCTGCGCAACTTCCGCCATTTCCGTTCGTCAATGCCGTTTCCTTCCTCTCTTCAATACCGTAATAATCTACACGGATTGCCGTGCAGTGCGCCACAGGCTCGCTAACACATCAATTTCCAATCGGCTGCAAAACATGATAAAATCATAATGTTCAATCTAAAAACGCACACCGTGATCATTACAAATAAACACACACATACACGCACACATACACACGCACACATACACACACACATACACACACGCACATATACACCAAAACCCTTGTGCAGACATAAATCTACGTACACGCACACAAGCGACGTATTACACATTTTTCCACAATAAATCTAAGGAGGCAGCGGTGGACGAACATCGGGATCTGCAGTGGTTATAGCACACGAAGCAAAGATAATACAGTTTCGGTGGCAGCAATTATGCAAGTACTGAATCGGTGATGCAAAAAACTGCGGCCAAAAGACAGGGCTGACTTAAGGGATAGTACAACGGCGGTGTATCAGAACGCGCCCAGACAGACAAATGCAAGTGTATGTGTGAACATGCGTCGATTATTATAACGCATATTGATCAGTTAA